ACCAACCTGGAAAGCTCTTTGCAGCAGTTACCATGGAAATATTTATAGAAAAGACACAGGGTAGTTACATTATGGTGATAAGGGAAGGGATTGAAGCCGAGATGTCAGGTCAGGACTGATAATGTTGCAGATTCTTCTTTGGATTCTGTTATAGATTCTAGAAAGCAAAAGTACCTGCCCAGATGTGGCAGCAATATTTTGACACAGTGATGAATGGTAGACTTATAAATGTGAAATATAGATTCTGGCAAGAAAAAAGTTTCATACAGCATAGTGAACCGACTTTCCTGGCAGCAGACTTAGCAACTGATTCGATATAATCATTAGACTTCATGTCGGTGGATTTGCATGGTTTCAGGTGTTATGCAGCATTGATTGTTTAAGATTACATTCGAAACACACATTTGTGCTGGTGTTTCTTTGAAGATGTTTTGTGTTAAACAAGATTGTTTGTTGCTATCAACTGCCTTGATTATATCCCCAGTCTTGTCAGTCTTGTGCCTGATTAGCCAAGAAATTATGTATAGTTGTCAACATCAAATAAACTGTGAAGTAGAAAAGAAATTCAGTTCATTAGTAGACTTTTATTACTGAGCAGAGAGATTTTCAAAGAAACTGCTTGAATTCAATATGGCTTACAGGCTTAAAAATATGTCCTTAGTGAGAAAAACTGATCTGATTGGGTGAATGTTACACATTTCTAGCAAAGTTAAAAATTTTATCTCTCATTAAATTTTACCAAATACAAAGCTTTTATTTCTTGGGGGGCTTGATTTTATACTAAACCAACTGAATATTCTGTTGAGAAGCAACTGACTTATTTCTCTTAATAATGTTAAATATTTTACTAGGGGAACAAAATTTTAACTCTATACCAAATCCTAAATTTTTGTGCCAAACACAAAAATCAAGTTAGTAGGGATTTTTTTTAACAGTAAGTTACATTCTGTACAAGGCGCAGAGGTAGAGGGCTATGTTAAGGGGTAGTTTATATGGATAAGAGGGGAAGATAATGGTTAACTCTAGATTTGAACAGGTTAAGATTGTAGTGATTGGGAGAAGCATCTGCTTTGGGATCTGTTCCACAGGGCAACGGTTCACAGGAAGAAGCTGTTTGAGTGGAACTTACTTCTCACTGATGGAATACAGAAGGGGTGGTTGGCTACAATGTAAGTGGCCTGACGGGTCCTTACGACAGACTGAAGCAATGCATAACCAACCTCGCCAGCTTCAGCAAATGAATGGCAGGAGACAGTATGGGGAAAAGAGAATTTGTGATCCTCTTGTCTTTAGAGGCGAAATAGACGCAAATAAAAAAAAAAACTCAAGCACTGTGTAAAATGTTAAAAAAAAAACATTTATTATATCATCAAATATGGTACAATACAGAATTTATTTGTGCACCTAATAGCAAGATAACAATTACTGATATGGCAAGAGGGATAACGATGACAAGAGGATAACAATTTCTGATATGGCAAGGGGGATCACGATGACAAGAGGACAACAATTTCTGATATGGCAAGAGGGATCACGATGACAAGAGGACAACAATTTCTGATATGGCAAGAGGGATCACAATGACAAGAGGATAACAATTTCTGATATGGCAAGGGGGATCACAATGACAAGAGGATAACAATTTCTGATATGGCAAGGGGGATCACGATGACAAGAGGATAACAATTTCTGATATGGCAAGGGGGATCACGATGACAAGAGGATAACAATTTCTGATATGGCAATGGGGATCACAATGGCAAGAGGATAACAAGTTCTGATATGGCAAGGGGGATCACGATGACAAGACGATAACAATTTCTGATATGGCAAGAGGGATCACGATGACAAGAGGACAACAATTTCTGATATGGCAAGAGGGATCACAATGAAAAGAGGATAACAATTTCTGATATGAAAAGAGGGATCACGATGACAAGAGGATAACAATTTCTGATATGGCAAGGGGGATCACAATGACAAGACGATAAAAATTTCTGAAATGGCAAGAGGGATCACAATGACAAGAGGATAACAATTTCTGATATGGCAAGCGGGATCACGATGACAAGACGATAACAATTTCTGATATGGCAAGGGGAATCATGATGACAAGACGATAACAATTTCTGATATGGCAAGGGGGATCACAATGACAAGAGGACAACAATTTCTGATATGGCAAGAGGGATCACGATGACAAGAGGACAACAATTTCTGATATGGCAAGAGGGATCACAATGACAAGAGGATAACAATTTCTGATATGGCAAGGGGGATCACAATGACAAGAGGATAACAATTTCTGATGTGGCAAGAGGGATCACGATGACAAGAGTATTACTGTTTAATTTTAATCCGTTTCAAGTTAAATTTCTAATCTGTGGACAGTTGTTGTCTGTTTATTTACTTCTGATTCAGTTTTCCAGGAACTGTTAAATATCCACCACTGATGTCAGTAGGTCTACCACAACCCCATCATAGACATCATATTAAGTAATAAAGGAAAAGTGAAGATTTACTTGCAAGGATTCATGTATACAAAGCAGATAGTAAATTCAACTACTATCAGATGGAGATTTTTTTCCTATTTTCCACTTGTGCCAATTTTACCTAAATTCATCCAATGTTGATCCTTAAGTTAAGCTTATAGACTAATTTTAACATTTATCGGCCACCAAGTAAACAATCGCTGGCATTATCATCATTGTCATTATAATATTATGAACAAATTAAGTCATTAAAACTGTTATAAATTATTACATATCAAATGCAATATGAAATATTGATGGGCTCCAGAGAGAAGCTAGTCATATGACAGAAAATAGATGAAAGGATGATAAATAATTTAAAGATATATATTCTTTGATATTTTGCAGCAATTTTTTTAAACAAAGGAAAGAAATAATTTTGATGGTTTCACAAAAACATTCAGCAACAAAATTTATTGTCATTTTATCGGGTGTAACTTCATTTTATTGATGATTTTTTTTTATCTTTTTATTTATTTTATTCCATCTCACGTTTGCTTTTTATCCCAACACTCTGGCTCTATACACTCTTCATTATTACTGTTATTTTATTACTAGTTTTATTCCATCTTATTATTGTTGCTTTTTATCCCAACACTCTAGCTCTATACACTCTTCATTATTACTATTATTTTATTACTAGTTTTATTCCATCTTATTATTGTTGCTTTTTATCCCAACACTCTGGCTCTATACACTCTTCATTATTGCTATTATTTTATTACTAGTTTTATTCCATCTTATTATTGATGCTTTTTATCCTAACGCTCTTCCTTACTGCATATATCCCATAACTATTGTAGAGTTGGTCAAGACTCCTATATATGGAAGCCTCCTCAGCGGGTGTGTCTATAGCAAGATGACCAATCATAGCCAATCTCTCTTAAGTCTGATTATGAATTCAGAATTCTCTTTTTCCTGAATTGTTTGCCCTACCAAGGCTCTAGAGCCCAATCTCCCTTACTATTTCACCTATAGCTAGAGAAATAAAGGAATGAATAGGCTTTCTTTAATTGTATTAATATGAAGTGAATACAAAACACTTCTAGTGGAATTCAAACTCTGCTGTTTCCATTTTTCATGTTGATAACCATCATGCCAACGTCACTTTACACTCTTTATTATTATTAGTAGTATTATTTTTATTACAATTAGCCAAGTTCAAATTCCAGGTTAATCTGTTGGCTTCACTTTTGACTTAAGCTCTTGGGAAAGAGATGAATCCATTTTTTCTACTCTCTGGCTTAAATAACAAGGTAGACTGGACTCTCTAGCCTTGACTGGCAGGCAACCGAGAAGAAGGGCAATTCTGAGTCCAAACTCTTTGAGGAAGCAATGGGAAACCATTATCTTTCCCAAGAAATTATGGCTTTATTATGGATAATAAAGAAAAGTAATCTGAGGAGAGCCATGTTTGCTTATGATGTGAAGGTAGATGACAATATAAAGTGAGAAGACTTAAATTATGCTAAAAAACAAATAATGCAAGTTACTCTGGCCATCCAATCGAAGAAAGATGACCAGATCTGATAGATGCAAAAGGACTTGAGAAATGATATACCCGGCTATACCAGGGTGCCATCTCATGCAGAATAAAAAAAAATGAAAAACCTTAGGAAGATACTAGGACTTCCTTGTTAACTATGTTGACCCTTGTGGTCCTACTGAGGATTGAACTCACCATCCTTGTTTAACAAATTTTTGAAGATATTAGCCTCCTATTCCTCAGCTTAATGGATATGTTCTAAGCAGTGACAGTAACAGTAGCAGGCTTGTCTCCCTTCCTGCTAAAGTGGATTTAATATTCAAGCATTAAATTTGTATTTTTGGTGCTTAATGACTAAACAATAGCAAGTTCTAAGCTGCAACCAGTGTCTTCCATAACTTTGAGTACCATTTCATTAAGTATAGCATTGTGGCACACATTCAATTCCTTCCTCCATGGACTTTGTTCTGGTATAGTTCATACAATAATATTCAAATTCTAAGACATATTTCTGACAGCTTTGTTATCAAATTATCATCCATTATCAGTTAGAAAAATAGACAATCAAAAATATGCAATTATTAACATTGTATTTCAGTTTTGGATTGCATATTTGAAGGGACATAGCATTTTCTTTTTAAATAAACTTTTTTCAGTCTTCCTCATCATCATTGTTCTTTTGGTTTTTTCTTTTTTTTTTTTCTTTTGGTTTTTTGTGAAGTTGTTTTATTTCTTTGGTAGAAATCTTCTAAGCATTAAAAATTCTTGCAGGAAGAAGCAGTCTATTTGTCAGGGAAAAAAATCCCAGCAGCAAAGATTGAACAGAAAACATGTTTGCAGAAGCCTTTCTGATCATATTAAAGCAATTACATTATGTAGAAAGGTTGAAGGTACAGTTTCTTTCATAACTATCTTCTTTTCTAAGAAATAGAATTCAGATTAAATAAATAATATATTTACATTCATTTTTTTTTCCCTTTCAGAGAACAGCACTTCATCGAGCGGCTTCCTATGGAAACATTGACCATGTGAAAATGCTTATAAAACAGGTTGGTATAGTGTGTTCTTCAAATTAATATTAACAATGCTTTTTGTGTTAATCTATTGATATAGTTCAGTGAGTTCAGTGGATATAAAATTGATGCCAATGTGGGCATAAAATTTATATTAAATTTATTGATCTTTTTTTTATTAGTATATGACTAACATTTTGCAAATGTAGCTGTTGTAGATATTAAAATAGCCAAATTTATATTGTGTACATGTGTTTAACTTGTGTGTTCATCATCAGGGATGTGAGTAAGAAAAGAGATAAAATGTATTTTAAAGTGTATTTTAAGCAACAAACAATTTTACACATTAAAAAGAACAGACTTTTATTATGACAATGTTGTCAATCTCTTATGAGATGAGTATTTGTCAGTTCACTGTTATGGTGACCTACCTACAGTAGAATGGACTCTTCCTCCTTCATAAATACTAACCTGCAAGACTTCCTGAGGAGCAGCCGAGACACAGTGTAACCTGACCGTTCAGGTGGACACTTCTATCTGCTTATTAATAACACTTTCTTTTCTAATTATCTGTTATTTCAATACACTTGTTCAACCTACCTTTGTCTTCCATGTCTTTCTTTGTAGCCTCTAACAGGCCACAACACTTGCCCACATTGTTACTGAATATGACACAAGGTCAGTTTAAAGTGGGTTTAATGGCAAGACCATAGAAAAATTGCCCAAGCCCTCTCAGCACTTTTACTTTTGGGGATGTGTAAGGCAATAAACCCAGCCCTTTGATAAAGATGAGATACTGCCTAGAAGGCTTGGGCTTAAAATTTGAAACTCCCTGACGCCAAAAAGCCATGGTGTTCAATCTCTTATGGGATTTGAACTAATCTTAAGAACAAACATGGTCTTAACTTGAATAAAGTGTTGCCTATGTGTTATGTGAGAATAGTCCCACCTGGTTGAATAATGTTGTTTTTAAGTTGTGTCAGTTTAATACAATTAGTAGGGTAAAAATTGAAACATTAACAACATAGAGGTACTCCACAAAACTGAATGAAATTATATTAAGAACTAGCCTACAAGCCACCCTTTGAGTGGACTTTAAGCTAGCTCCTGCAGAGGGATTTTTTAGATAAAAGTTATAAGAATTTAGAAATAATAAAATTATTTCACCTTTATTCGACACCTTCATCTGGCATAATCAATCTGTACTTCTGTCAATCCAATCAGCATGATGTCCATTGTCTTTTAAAGAAATGACGAGTTTGACACCGAATCTAAGATGGTTAAATCTTAATAATTCCATGGGGATGTTGATAGTAAGAAGTTCTTTGGATTCCTTGTCAACTTCCTGTTGAAGAAAAGCATCAGAAAGATCAACCTGTTACAGTTTTTTGGATACATATATATGTACTAGTGAGCCAGTCGAAATGAGCTGACTCATTTTATAGTTCACCAATAGAAGGGTTAACCAATCAGAAAGCTCAAAATATTCAATGCGACGTGTATAAAGGAAGCCATTTTGTTTTTTCTCCCAAAATATCTCCACTGCCAACCTGATATCAAAGACTTAAAGAATTAACAGCCAACCTCTGATATTGAAGAGATTACAGACTTCACTGGATTCCATATTCAGAGACTACGGCAAACATGGTCAACACAACCTTTGCAAAGCAAATTCTGCCATTGAGTTTTGTGAAAAGATCCTTTGGCACTGAAAGTGGATACTGATGTGCATCCATAGAATCATTCAAATTGATCGAGTAATCAACACTTATCCTGACTTTTCCGTTTACCTTTTTAGCAATTTCTTTATGAGAAATTTTACAAATTGTCAGTTTTTAAAAAGTTGAGAATAAGTATATAAATAGTAGGACTCCAAACATGGTAACAATGACCTTTTATTGATTTCGTGTAGATATATGACATACCAGCATTTATATAAATTCTCTGAGAAACATGTGGGGCTGAATGAAGATGCACTAAACATGGATCAACCTTTTCTTATTAAAGAACAAATCATGTTAGCATTATCTGAGAATGTCTGTTCACAATTCCTTCCCTGCTGATTCCTCTGCCACCTCTTAATTGCTATTGTTACCAGGTTCACCCCGACCTGGGACGGTAGTACCTGTTAGGCTTCCATCTATGGGTAAATAATGACCTCACCTCTCAAATAAATCACTGTGAAAGTATAAAAATACATTTTTATAGTAAAATACCAGCAATGCATTTTTATATGATAAAATGACCAACAATATATTTTATCTGTAATTGAAGGCATACATCTGTGTTCAAAATATTTAGATTTCAGCATTAAATTACCCATGGAGGTGTTGATATACCACTAAACAAAATGAACTAAATCAAATGGATTCCGACTGGCAATATGAGACACATGGCACAGTGGATAAAAGCATTAGTTAGATCCAGTGACTGGACCCAAAGAGTGTGAGTTCAATACCCGGTTAAGGCAGTGGAGAACATGGATATAGGAATTAACAGGAGATAACTGACATCCATTAAACATGGCATGTGGAACTAGAACAGTCTACCCCAGTGAGTGAAATAAAGGGTTCAGTTCGACATTCCAACCACCTGAAGAAGGCAGGAGCATACAACGGCCAAAACATAATAAATATGGTGACGAGGACAATAGTCCAAATAATGTAAATAATGTACATAATACCTCATCTCAGAAATATAGACATGAGTTTACATGTTGTTCTTTGATGTGTCATATGCCTTCAGGACATGAATGATCAAGGCTCTCCAAACCTTCCTATTTTTTGTGGCCTGTAGCAGTTTCTTAATTTTGTTAAGGCTCCCCTACCATCCCACCATCCATTCACATAGATAGGTAGCTTGCTATTTTCCCCTATCTCTCTTGCCTACAAAATACCCAATGAGGGTTAAGTTTTCCAATCCTGCTTTCTTCATTACGTGTCCAAGGAATTTCACTTATCTCTTTCTGATTTTGGGCATGTGTTCTTTTTGTTGAAAGACATCCTCATTACTTACTTGCGCCATCCTTGGAATTCTCAGTATCCTTCTGTAGAACCATGTTTCTGTCGCTTCCAGTTTTCTCCTCATCCATGGTGTGGTCAAAAGAAGTTAGCAACTCTGTTTTGGAACATAATTTTAGATTGGGTGTTTCTTCCTTCTGTTATGGTGATGGTCCAAGGTTAGAACCAATGAAAGAATAACACGAACACTGGTATGGAATACAAAGATATATTACAACAGAAATATAATACAAAGAAATAGAAGTATTAGTAATGACTATCAGATTTGGTTAGAGTGAACTATGTTGTCTCAACAAGTATCACTATTCCAATGTCCTTACAATATGCTCTCAGTTATCTCTCCTCGTCTTACAACCTCCTCATACCTCTTGAGAGGCGCAGTATTTATAATGTCAGGAATAATCCATTATTATTATGGGTGAGTTCCCATAACACCTTCTACACCGGTTTCTTGGTATCGTTGTGCTCTTCCCTATATCTGCTTCCTCCTATCACAACTGTACATATAGTAAGATGTACTCCGACAAAAGACCTCTCTCATGTCCATGATGGTCTACTTATAATGAGGAATCACCAATTACTGGCCCGGATGATGGATATACTAGACATATGGCCACCTCAGAATGGAGCACTAACACACCCGGACATTTCTCTTCAATTCCGTCCAACCATGCTAATATTATACACAGACATTAATGAATCAATTTCTTGTGCTATGGCAAGGAAGAAGGGTCTCTTTTGATGGAACGGCATACTTGCCTTCTCTCAAATTGAAGTCCTACATGCCAGACAAAGACAAATTCTCTTTTGTCAAGAATAAGGCAAGTACTGTTTACCATTTCTGACGTTTGACTCTGGTTCTGGTTCACTAACTCTGCCACACATGGAGAAATAGTCCAGCATTCTTCTGTTTCTCTGTAATTTGGATAATTTTTGTAATGCCACTTTTGCTAATGTACTGTGTGTTCACATTTTGGTGTCACGTTTTCCATCCTCAGTTAAAACATTTCATGTTACTCCCTAAAAATAAGGCAATAATTTTAAGAGATTTTTTTCCACAGCAATGGTAAAAAGCAAATGTATAAAGCTTTTAAGATCAAAAATGAGAAAAACGCATGAGTGGATAAGTAAGTACATAGATTATGTAAATTGTAGACTACAAGAAAGACAAGTGAAGAAATTACAAATTTTTACCCAATGAGGGCCCAAGAACCTTCCTAACAGATACATTACCTTTACTGATATGTCTGAGAGACTGATGGTAAGATGAACAAATTTGCTGTCATACAACAAAAGGCTTTTCTCAATCAACTCAGCACCAAACTGTTATCAAGAAGGGCAACAATAATCTTACCTTTGAAAAAAATATTTTGATTGAAGTCAAGAAGATGAAACTAAAATGAATCAAAAGTGAATAATAATGACAAAACTTAACACTACTACTACTACTACTACTACTAGGTGTTAAAGAAGGAAGAGAAATAAGATGAAAGAAAGATTAGTCAAAAAGGAATAATAATGACAAGACTTCATCTAAGAAATTCACCCAACTTAACACTACTACTACTACTACTAGGTGTAAAGAAGCAAGAGAAATAAGATGAAAGAAAGACTAGTCAAAAATGAATAATAATGACAAGGCTTCATCTAAGAAATTCACCCAACTTAACACTACTACTACTACTACTACGAGGTGTAAAGAAGCAAGAGAAATAAGATGAAAGAAAGACTAGATAAAAATGAATAATAATGACAAGGCTTCATCTAAGAAATTCACCCAACTTAACACTACTACTACTACTACGAGGTGTAAAGAGCAAGAGAAATAAGATGAAAGAAAGACTAGTCAAAAATGAATAATAATGACAAGGCTTTATCTAAGAAATTCACATTACGTGACTATTTCTATTAACTGTAAAGTTTTTGGAATAATATTTTGTGCTAATAACATATTTTTTAATTTATTGCAGGGTTCTAACATCAGTATTCCTGACAGTGAAGGCAAAACACCTCTCCACTGGGCAGCAAGTAGCAAAGATCCTTCCGCTGTAGCATGTGTCAAGGTCTTGCTTGTAAGTTACGTTTCATCTCCTGTTAGGCAATTAAGAGAGAAATCTAAGTAAAATAGAAATATATCAGATACATGGCTTTTAAGAAAATCTGAACAAGTAAGTGTACTTTAAGGTAAATAGAATCTTGCTTGACTATGAAGCTCTCAAGTAGCTGAGCAAAGCACATCAGATCAGATGGTGGTTCCTCCTCCAATGTGGGATGCAGTTTCAAATCATGACAGAAGGTACATTTTCTTTATTTTTTCTTGAGTGTGCAGACCAGTTGGCAAAAAAAAAAAAGAAAGAAGACCAATATCTTTAAAAGAACAGAGCTTCTACTCAAATACTTATCCGCTAAAAATAATGTTTGAAGTTATATATATATATATATATATATATATATATATATATATATGAAGAAATATAGTTTTAAGGTGTGCTATATTTATGGGATAAAGTGCTCAATATCAGAGATAGTGTATCTAAATATAAAACTAAACGTGAACATTGAAGTCAACACTCAGAGGTGACAGGCTGTTTCATGCTGGACACAATTGTCACTTTTATATATATATATATATATATATATATATATATATATATTAAGAAATGGACAAGGTCCGACAATTTATTTATTAAAGACATTTTTATGTTTTCGTAAATGACGGTTCATGATAGGATGCAGGTTCGAATCCTGTCAAAGAACAAATATTTTCTATGAAAATTTTCGGACATTCAGGCGGTAAATGTTATTTAATACTGTTTATCATAAACAGAACATTTGCTTAAATACTTGTATCTATAAATAACAACGTTAAACATAAAAAATGTCTTTAATAAAATATATATATATATATATATATATATAAAGAAATATAGTTTTAAGGTGCGATTTATATTTATGGGATAAAGTGCCCAATATCAGAGATAGAGTGTATCTAAATATAAAACTAAACGTGAACATTGAAGTCAACACTCAGAGGTGACAGGCTGTTTCATGCTGGACAAAATTGTCACTTTTATATTTATATATATATATATATATATATATATATATATATATATTATATATATTACGTTGTTAAATATAATGGACAACGGATGTCTATGTTTGATCATGAGCCTTACCAAGCTTCATATAGTGGCTTTAGTTTCAGGAGAAAATAATATAATGACAATGTAAGAACAGAGCAAATGATAATTATGAAAGTGGAGACTTTAGAAATAAATATATATATTCAAGCATGTTTGGTTAAATAATTTAGATGTATTATGTCTATTTATTTTAGTTTTAATCTTTTCAAGTCCATGAATTAATTTCTTGGTTGCTGTAGAAAATTGGTCAAGAAAAATTCCAAAGTTTTCTTTCAAATAATTTTCATTTTCCCAAGTACTTTCAATCTCATCTGAGATCATCTTCAGGGGTTGCATATCTATTGATGTGTTATGTGTTAACACCGTAAATTCAAAACATTTTTTCACCGCTATGCAAAGGAGGTAACTTTATGTGAATTTTTTTTAAAAAGATTTTTAATTATAGTATTTTAATTTAGTATTTTTTTTATATAACACTTTGCTGATACAAATATTTAAGAACTTTGTTGCTATACTTAAAATACTAAATTTACAATTTACACTTGTTAGACACTTTCTAGTACAAACCATGAATTAGCAATCTAAGTTCAAATTTCATCTTAGTCCTTCTCTTATCCCGCCAGCTATAGATTAAATAACAGGGTAAACTGAGATCTCTAGCCTTGAGTGGCAGCAAGTCAAGGAGAAGGACTGCTCTGAATTCAAAATAAATAGTGAAGGCAACTGGAAGCCATTCCACTAGTTGTCCCAGGAAGTAAGGATAATTAATCAACAATGAAGAAACAGAATCTGTACAAAGCCAGGATTGCCTACATCATGAAGAAAGATCAAAAATTTTATTTATAGATGTGAAATATATTTTTGCAAAAACGATTCTGTGAGATGTAAAACATTTAAGATACATTTAGCCTTTGTCAAAAATGTAACAGAAAGCTCATTTCATAAAATGTATTAAGGATTATCTATTAAGGTGTTAAATTCTCAAGATAATCCATCAATATATTAATGGATTAAGGAAAAAAACACTGTTTAAATATTGTCGCAAAATTCGGTCCAAACAATAGGAAGGGAACGGGTTGGTCTCGTAAAATTAGGTCCAAACAATAGGGGGAAGCAGGTTGGCCCGGCACCGCCTACTTCCGGAAACACTCCTCAGCTTAACGACAGCTACAATCCAGCTACAACAACTCCACAGATCTTTGCACTCAAATGTTCCAACAAGCCTCGCAAGTTAAGCTACACACCACTCTGTCAAGTGGTCTAATGAAAATCACATTTATCCCAGCGAACACCAACCAATTTGCAAACACAAGAAGTTCTCCTCTCGCCAATCAAAGTGATAGAATAGATCGCGTTTCCATAAGTTCGACTCACCGTAATGGTGGTGTTTCTTGAAAGGACCAATTACTGCCCTACACGCCAGACACAAACGAACCCTCTTATGCCGAGAACTGAGGTTAGTCTCATTTTCATGTCACCAAATATTCATATAAATTCTTATTAGTTTTGCTTATTTATGGTCTGTTCTCTTCTCCTAATTTTTTTCTCTTTAGGAAGCTGCTCCAACAGTTGTCAATTGGCAAGATTATGAAGGAAGAACAGCTCTTCATTCTGCTGTGGCTGATGGAAATGAGGCGATTGTAAAAGTCCTTGTAAGTGTGCTCTTACTTATACCTGATAGATTTTGATGTCATTATTGAATATGGGATAAACACAATGACATAGTTTTAAAATATTATTTTAATACTAGCTCTTTATGGATCCTAGAATATTATGGCTAGGATTTATGAAACAAATCCATCCAAACTTTCATTCCCTCTAATGATTCTATATTTAGTGATATAGCAAATACTAAAAGCATCTATAGAAATTCATTGCAAATGATTTTACTATAGAATGGAATGCATTAGAAATGATTTGAATACTAGCTCTTTATGGATCCTAGAATATTATGGCTAGGATTTATGAAACAAATCCATCCAAACTTTCATTCCCTCTAATGATTCCATATTTAGTGATATAGCAAATACTAAAAGCATCTATAGAAATTCATTGCAAATGATTTTACTATAGGAATGCATTAGAAATGATTTGAATACTAGCTCTTTATGGATCCTAGAATATTATGGCTAGGATTTATGAAACAAATCCATCCAAACTTTCATTCCCTCTAATGATTCCATATTTAGTGATATAGCAAATACTAAAAGCATCTATAGAAATTCATTACAAATGACTTTACTATAGGAATGCATTAGAAATGATTTGAATACTAGCTCTTTATGGAACCTGGAATATTATGGCTAGGATTTATGAAACAAATCCATCCAAACTTTCATTCCCTCTAATGATTCCATATTTAGTGATATAGCGATTACTAAAAGCATCTATAGAAATTCATTGCAAATGATTTTACTATAGGAATGCATTAGAAATGATTTGAATACTAGCTCTTTATGGATCCTAGAATATTATGGCTAGGATTTATGAAACAAATCCATCCAAACTTTTATTCCCTCTAATGATTCCATATCTAGTGATATAGTAAAAGCATCTATAGAAATTCATTGCAAATGATTTTACTATAGGAATGCATTAGAAATGATTAGAATACTAGCTATTTATGGAACCTGGAATATTATGGTTAGGATTTATGAAACAAATCCATCCAAACTTTCATTCCCTCTAATGATTCCATATTTAGTGATATAACAAATACTAAAAGCATCTATAGAAATTCATTACAAATGACTTTACTATAGGAATGCATTAGAAATGATTTGAATACTAGCTCTTTATGGAACCTGGAATATTATGGCTAGGATTTATGAAACAAATCCATCCAAACTTTCATTCCCTCTAATGATTCTATATCTAGTGATATAGAAAATACTGAAAGCATATATAGAAATTCATTGCAAATGATTTTACTATAGGAATGCATTAGAAATGATTTGAATACAAGCTCTTTATGGAACCTGGAATATTATGGCTAGGATTTATGAAACAAATCCATCCAAACTTTCATTCCCTCTAATGATTCTATATCTAGTGATATAGCAAATACTAAAAGCATCTATAGAAATTCATTGCAAATGATTTTACCATAGGAATGCATTAGAAATGATTTGAATACTAGCTCTTTATGGAACCTGGAATATTATGGCTAGGATTTATGAAACAAATCCATCCAAACTTTCATTCCCTCTAATGATTCCATATTTAGTGATATAGCAAATACTAAAAGCATCTATAGAAATTCATTGCAAATGATTTTACTATAGGAATGCATTAGAAATGATTTGAATACTAGCTCTTTATGGATCCTAGAATATTATGGTTAGGATTTATGAAACAAATCCATCCAAACTTTCATTCCCTCTAATGATTCCATATTTAGTGATATAACAAATACTAAAAGCATCTATAGAAATTCATTACAAATGATTTTTACTATAGGAATGCATTAGAAATGATTTGAATACTAGCTCTTTATGGAACCTGGAATATTATGGCTAGGATTTATGAAACAAATCCATCCAAACTTTCATTCCTCTAATGATTCCATATTTAGTGATATAGCAAATACTAAAAGCATCTATAGAAATTCCAAATGATTTTACTATAGGAATGCATTAGAAATGATTTGAATACTAGCTCTTTATGGATCCTAGAATATTTGGCTAGGATTTATGAAACAAATCCATCCAAACTTTCATTCCTCTAATGATTCCATATTTAGTGATATAGCAAATACTAAAAGCATCTATAGAAATTCATTGCAAATGATTTTACTATAGGAATGCATTAGAAATGATTTGAATACAAGCTCTTTATGGATCGACAAAGAATATTATGTAAACAAGGATTTATGAAACAAATCCATCCAAACTTTCATTCCTCTAATGATTCCATATTTAGTGATATAACAAATACTAAAAGCATCTATAGAAATTCATTACAAATGATTTTACTATAGGAATGCATTAGAAATGATTTGAATACTAGCTCTTTATGGAACCTGAATATTATGGATAGGATTTATGAAACAAATCCATCCAAACTTTCATTCCCTCTAATGATTCCATATTTAGTGATATAGAAAATACTAAAAAGCATCTATAGAAATTCATTGCAAATGATTTTACTATAGGAATGCATTAGAAATGATTTGAATACTAGCTCTTTATGGATCCTAGAATATTATGGCTAGGATTTATGAAACAAATCCATCAAACTTTCATTCCCTCTAATGATTCCATATTTAGTGATATAGCAAATACTAAAAGCATCTATAGAAATTCATTGCAAAATTTTACTATAGGAATGCATTAGAAATGATTTGAATTTTATGGAATCCTAGAATATTATGGCTAGGATTTATGAAACAAATCCATCCAAACTTTCATTCCTCTAATGATTCCATATTTAGTGATATAACAAATATAAAAGCATCTATAGAAATTCATTACAAATGATTTTACTATAGGAATGCATTAGAAATGATTTGAATACTAGCTCATTTTATGGAACCTGGAATATTATGGCTAGGATTTATGAAACAAATCCATCCAAACTTTCATTCCCTCTAATGATTCCATATTTAGTGATATAGCAAATACTAAAAGCATCTATAGAAATTCATTGCAAATGATTTTACTATAGGAATGCATTAGAAATGATTTGAATACTAGCTCTTTATGGATCCTAGAATATTATGGCTAGGATTTATGAAACAAATCCATCCAAACTTTCATTCCCTCTAATGATTCCATATTTAGTGATATAGCAAATACTAAAAAGCATCTATAGAAATTCATTGCAAATGATTTTACTATAGGAATGCATTAGAAATGATTTGAATACTAGCTCTTTATGGATCCTAGAATATTATGGCTAGGATTTATGAAACAAATCCATCCAAACTTTCATTCCCTCTAATGATTCCATATTTAGTGATATAGCAAATACTAAAAGCATCTATAGAAATTCATTGCAAATGATTTTACTATAGGAATGCATTAGAAATGATTTGAATACAAGTTCTTTATGGAACCTGGAATATTATGGCTAGGATTTATGAAACAAATCCATCCAAACTTTCATTCCCTCTAATGATTCCATATTTAGTGATATAGCAAATACTAAAAGCATCTATAGAAATTCATTGCAAATGATTTTACTATAGGAATGCATTAGAAATGATTTGTATATTAGCTTTTTATGGAACCTGGAATATTATGGCTAGGATTTATGAAACAAATCCATCCAAACTTTCATTTCCTCTAATGATTCCATATCGAGTGATATAGCAAATACTAAAAGCATCTATAGAAATTCATTGCAAATGATTTTACTATAGGAATGCATTAGAAATGATTTGAATACTAGCTCTTTATGGAACCTGGAATATTATGGCTAGGATTTATGAAACAAATCCATCCAAACTTTCATTCCCTCTAATGATTCCATATCTAATGAAATAGCAAATACTAAAAGCATCTACAGAAATTCATTGGATTTTACTACAGGAATATATTATACAACTTATCTATCAGAGTCCATTCCTACAATTGGAGACGGCAAACTACTACTACTCTCTAATTTTTTGATACTTTAGTTTTAAAGTGAAGTGCTATATAAAAGCATGGTCAGTATACAAAGAGGCAGGAAAAGGACTGTCTGAACTGTAATGTTGGGTGGCAAGTGTTTTTGTAGTCCTTGTAGGTATTTTTGCACATGAACCAATAATAAAAATCATAATAAACAGTGTTCTATTTTGTTTTTCTTTTTTGCCATTTTTCCATTCACCCATCACTCTTTTCCTTTCTTCTTTTTCTTACAAAAGACGTCCTTTGAAAACTGCCATGTATCAGAATTGGACAATAATTTTCGAACTCCTTTGCACTGGGCAGCAGATTTAGGTAAGCATTTTTTTTTGTATGTCTTTTTGTTGAAGTAAAAACATAAACCTATGTCTAATGCATTGAAACTGGGACTCCTCTTCTATTGTCTATAAACACACGCACAACCTCTTGAACCAGTTATATGTTTCTGTGGAGTCAAATATTAGTTTAAAACATTTGCTGGAATAAATTTCTTGTTAAATTTTAAAATCCAAATCATTCTGACTGAATTTCTTAGATTATTATTTGTTTCACTTGTTTTTGTTTTTGTTTTTTACAGCTTATCGACCTTTTGCAAGTTATTTAAAGCCAGAAATTATTTTTAGATTGTAAGAAGTTTTTGGAGATAATAATGATTTACTGATACAAGTCCTACTAATTAACTCATAGCTGGGGGAAGAGCTGAAGAAGTGTATTCAATGGTATTTGCATGTAAGTGAATATAATGAACCCAACTGGAATTGGAACTCAGCTCTCTGAATTTCAAGCCTGTATCCATTACACCACCTTCACATCCAAGTTTGCAGTGCCTAGTATTCCCCAAGCTTCTGAGATGACAAATTATCACTATTTAAATTATTTGCAGTTGATCCAATGTCAGACTTACTAGAGGCAAGGAACATGAAAAGATCACCCCCCACCATCTGGATTAAATAAATAGTTCTGTTTCAAATTCTCTAAGGATTAGCCAGATTGATAGACACTTGAAAAGGTCAGCAACCACCATGGTCAAAACATTGTGATAGTAATAAGATATTAGTATTATATATATAATAATGTATTACTAATATATTAGTAATACATTAGTCAAAGTACTTCTCTTTCTGAACTCTAGATCAGTGTTAGTCAAAATGTATTTTTTTACATATTTCTTTCTTTATAAAATGATAAATAATAAATATTTCATTATAGTTGATTCACATACATTTATCATAGAATTATTTTTGTAAATAAACTAATGAATAGTGTTTAGTGTCTTTGTTGTCAATTCTCAAGTATAAAGAAAATGTATAAATGCACTTTTATATGTTTGGGTTTTTATTAAAATTCTAATCATCACTTTTTAATGTTGTAAACATTGCTGAGGGAGTGTCATACCTGAACGTACCTATTCTATTATTAATAGACTCTCCCACACATAATAAGTAGTAGTAGTGGTCGCCAGTTGGGCTCAGTGGTGTTGAGTGAGTCAGTCGATGTCGGACATTGAAGTATCAACCATCACAACTAGATTGCTGCGTCATTAAGTCTTATTTCAAGTTCCTAACGTTTTGTACGTCGAACCTAATTTAGGACGACTTACTGAAATACAAGCCTCCACTTTGAAAACTACTCTACAACAGGGAGTCAAAAGTGAATACAGTAATAGCAGTGTCAAGTGAATAACTTACCTTTTGACATACCATTTTTTTTACATGGATGAAGATTAAAAATTACCCTTTTTATTTTATTTAATGTGTGTGATATATGTCATCAAATTTTTGGTAATTACATGTCTATTTTGTTCAACATTGTAAAATGTTCTAAAAGCTCTGTTTTTATCTCTCAGATGAGGTATGATGATTATTTACATTGTTTGGACTGTTATCCTCATCTTCATTGCTATATTCACAACAAAATTCCAATCACCTGAAGAAGGCTGAAGCATTGTGAATATGGCAATGAAGATGAGGATAACAGTCTGAATAATGTAAATAATGTTTTGAAAGCTGTAAAGATCTTTAATCTAGTCCTTAATAGGAGCAGATAAGTTTACCTATTGTCCAGTTCACACACCTACCCAGTTTTTCCAACAGAGGTAGAGGCTTATCCTTTGTTTCCTGTTTAGGATTGGGTTAACTCCCAGTAGGATTTCATCTCTGGTTCCTTCATCACTATATTTCTGATGTCTCCACAATCTGAAATTTTATTCAGTAATTATTATTATTTTTTTCCTCTCCCAATAGGAGTGGATAGGTTCACTTATCACCCAGTTCACATTCCTCCTTGACTTTTTGAACAGGAGTAGTGGTTTATCCTTTGTTTCCTGTTTAGGATTGTGTGTCCAGTTCCTTCTAAAGTGTATTTTCACACTATATTTCTAATATCGCTGATTGTACTCTGAAATTTCATTCAGTAATTAAATCTTGACCTCATCAATTCTATAGCTAGCCGTTATCTTTCCTGAATAGGCCCAAGAACATCACTTCTTTCCTTTTCTTACACACATACAACCTTCTACCTTGAGTGGCTCTTAGGCCTTGTATTGGGTGACCATGAGTAAAGAAAGAAAAGTAGATGACTTTCTAATATCGTCACTGTATCTCCATTGAAAGGGGGCTTTCCAGAAACTAGTATCATGTGCATTGCCGTGAAAATAACATTCTCTCAAGCAGGGGGCTTTTTGGAAGGAAAGGGTCTGAAAGCTATGCTGTGTTTCAGGGAAGGGCCATGATATTAAATTTATTATAATAAATTGTCTCAAACTATGTCCAGAAGACTGCCTTGGTCTGGAGGTTTAAAGAAAAAAAAAGAAGAAATATATTACTTATACAAGGTTCCTTATTTTACTGCAGGAATAACAGGATAACAACTAAGATAATCAAGAAAAAATACAAATTCCTTGCTACAAATGAAATACAGTTAGAAATGACAAATTAGTTAATGAGACATTTGTTTCTTATTGTGTGACAACTTCTCCACATCAGGTGAAATATTTGTCGATGACAGGAGCAAAACATGATCCAGGTGATCATCATCCAACCTTAAAATCAACTATATAATAATTTTCAAAAAAATTTGTTCACAAGCATATTTACTTCCAAATAAAGATTCCATCATTTTCACATTATTCAATAGGCTTTCATATTTTCTGTTGGGCAAAACATATTTCTTGTAGAAGTCATCAGTAGATTCGAAATGAAATTTTGATATAAAAAATTTGTTGCATTGTAAGTCAATTAACTCCAACTGATATTTTTCTGCCATTTGTTCCACAAATTATTTAGATAATTAGCGTCTAAGTGTTAAGTTGGCGAGCCAGACAAAAAATCCTTCACAGATCCAGATGTGGCTTGGGGGTTGCCGACCCCTGCTCTAAAGTATCAACAAGAATTGCAGTAAACACTAATAGAAATTTGTCTATGGCCGCAACTGTAAATAATAAAAAAACTGTCAAATCTTGTTCACAAATAACGGTTATTTCCAAATACTGACAAGCATAAGCAGATCAAGTTGATCCAGTCTCAAACATAATCTACATTAATCTGCAAAGCAAACCTGCTGATCTGAATTGGATTGCAAACTTTTTTCTGTTGATTTTGTCAAACTGTAATAGAACAAGTGTTTTGCAAACAGAAAATGTTGTCTGACCAATTCTTGCATTGCCATCCCTCCTTGCATCTGCCTTCAATAGTGCCTTGCATGATGGTCTTGCAGAGTTTCTTATACCATGTGCTATGATCAAACCATGACAACTTCCCCCAGGATGACCTGTTGGCGGTTGACTGTCAGGAGTTCTGGCATTGTCATGTCCGTCCTCTCTTTGATGTTATCTGACCAGTTCTTGCATTGCCATACCCCATGATGGTCTTGCATCTACAAACCTTCCCCCAGGATACTGACTGTCAGGAGTTCTGGCATTGTCATGGTCTTTGATGTTATTGACCAGTTCTTGCATTGCCATTTCTTATGCCTTCAATACTGCCTTGCATGATGGAGTTTCTTATACCATATGATATGGCCAAACCATGACAACTTCCCCCAGGATGACCTGTTGGCGGTTGACTGTCAGGAGTTCTGGCATTGTCATGTCCGTCCTCTCTTTGATGTTATCTGACCAGTTCTTGCATTGCCATCCCTGCTTGCATCTGCCTTCAATACTGCCTTGCATGATGGTCTTGCAGAGTTTCTTATACCATATGATATGGCCAAACCATAACAACTTCCCCCAGGATGACCTGTTGGCGGTTGACTGTCAGGAGTTCTGGCATTGTCATGTCCGTCCTCTCTTTGATGTTATCTGACCAGTTCTTGCATTGCCATCCCTGCTTGCATCTGCCTTCAATACTGCCTTTGCATGATGGTCTTGCAGAGTTTTTATACCATATGATATGGCTAAACCAAACAACTTCCCCCAGGATGACCTGTTGGCGGTTGACTGTCAGGAGTTCTGGCATTGCTGTCCGTCCCCCTTTGATGTTATCTGACCAGTTCTTGCATTGCCATCCCTGCTTGCATCTGCCTTTCAATACTGCCTTGCATGATGGTCTTGCAGAGTTTCTTATACCATATGATATGGCCAAACCATAACAACTTCCCCAGGATGACCTGTTGGCGGTTGACTGTCAGGAGTTCTGGCATTGTCATGTCCGTCCTCTCTTTGATGTTATCTGACCAGTTCTTGCATTGCCATCCTGCTTGCATCTGCCTTCAATACTGCCTTGCATGATGGTCTTGCAGACCATATGATATGGTAAACCATAACAACTTCCCCAGGATGACCTGTTGGCGGTTTTCAGGAGTTATACCATATGATATGGCTTGCAAACCATAACAACTTCCCCCAGGATGACCTGTTGGCGGTTGACTGTCAGGAGTTCTGGCATTGTCATGTCCGTCTTCTCTTTGATGTTATCTGACCAGTTCTTGCATTGCCATCCTGCTTGCATCTGCCTTCAATACTGCCTTGCATGATGGTCTTGCAGAGTTTCTTATACCATATGATATGGCCAAACCATAACAACTTCCCCAGGATGACCTGTTGGCGGTTGACTGTCAGGAGTTCTGGCATTGTCATGTCCGTCTTCTCTTTGATGTTATCTGACCAGTTCTTGCATTGCCATCCCTGCTTGCATCTGTCTTCAATACTGCCTTGCATGATGGTCTTGCAGAGTTTCTTATACCATATGATATGGCCAAACCATAACAACTTCCCCAGGATGACCTGTTGGCGGTTGACTGTCAGGGAGTTCTGGCATTGTCATGTCCGTCCTCTCTTTGATGTTATCTGACCAGTTCTTGCATTGCCATCCCTGCTT